CCATATAGTATACACTTAGGCCTTAAAGTACCTATATGGGGACCCCTTTAAGGCTTAAGTATCTACTATGAAGGTATATGGAGCCTTTGGGTCCATACATGGTCGACCGCCAACGTTTTCAAGTTGATTTGGTGATTCGGAGCCTGAAAAGCGCGGGACCCTGAAAACCTAAACTCTAAAACCGCAGTCCCGACACCCTATGCAAGCCCGAGCCAACAACAATACTCACACATGGAACATTGTCCATGGTAGGACCTAGATCCGTCTTCTGCTTCAGCCTATAGTCTCCTTAAGATTATTTTTGTTTTTTCACATAAAACCCAAGGAAATATCAATAATATTGTTTTTATTGTGGTTCTAAGGGGGTATAGCACATCAGATTCAGGGTTTACGAGTCTGTACATCAAGTAAATCGCATAAACACCCCTATAGACCCGATGAAGAGAAATCACAAACCAAGCCTTCCCCCAATAATAAGCAGCCCTTGTCGTCTGATCATAAAGGCAGCTTTCGCCAGCTAAATCCGACAAGCCCTTTAAACCCTAAACCCCTTAAACCCTTAAGCCGTAAAAACTAAACCCTTTCCGGGCTCAGGGGTACGAAGTTTGGGTCACAACGGACTTCCGAGTTCAAATTTGAGGGGGCCCCCTAAACCATAAACCCTAAACCCTCCCTCCACCTGCAAGATTCAGTCCCTGAGCAGTGCGACTGGGTTCCCTGTACCGTCGAGCGCCACAGCCAAAAGACCTGCCGGGCGAAAATCGCAAAAGAAGGGCCCGAACTTAACATACTTAAAGGATCATGGGACTTAGTAAGTAGGTTATACTTGGGCTTGTAAGTCTCCTAAGTGGGGTTATCTTAGTTATAACCTACTTATATCCTTACTTACTAAGTCCCATGAGCCTTCAAGTAGTGGCATTAGTAGTTACCTCTACTATTTTGAGGGTTCCTTATTGTAACGATTTTATGCTGGGCCCTAAAACCCTAGTCTAACCTATATATTGGCTTTAGCTTTTCAGGGTGCAGGGCCTGACCTCCCATGCCCCAGAGTAGAGACCTGTTCCTGGGATCCTTACCATGCGGACTCCTACTTGGAGAGGCAGGGGACTTCGTAAGTCGTTTTATGTAGGGTTTTCATTGGGGCAACTCCATGTAGGGTACTTGTAACTCTACTTACAACCAACTTACGAAGTCCCCTGCCCCTCCAAGTAATTCCAAGAACGGATCCCCAACTAAGCAGAGCCCTAAAGCTCCCTTCAAGGAAGCCTACAATGAAGGGCTCCTTATTGTGATTTTGTTTTTCCAGGTACTGTCCTGAACTGGCAGGTTTATTCGGGCATAAAGGTAATACCCCCAGCCCCCTTACCTTCAACTCTAAACCAGAACCAGACACCCTGAACGCTGCAAAACCCTAGACCCCGAGCCATAAAACCGAGATCCTAAACCCCATGTGCAACCCTTATAGAACCCCTAACTCCTTGTAAGGTCCTTGTACACACATTGCACAGCCCTAGAGCCCTTAAGCCTCTATTCTAGAAGCCCAGCAACCCCTAATACAGCCTAGTAAACTTTCAGCCTCATGTGGATCCGGGATCGAGCCCCTTTGAGAAAAAATGGGACAGCCCCAAGGCCCTAGAGCTCTACATCCTAAACCCGTAGGGGCCCTTAAGCCCTTAACCCCTAGCCCCAGTAAACCTAAAGAGTCGCCTCACGGGAGGATCAGCCGCTGAAGGCCTTGGCCAGCGCGAGGCCAGAGCCTGAGCCGTTCAGTTCCTTGACGGTATAGGCTTTAGGGTTCATAAGATTTGGAGTTTAGTGCTTCTGGTTTTGTGCTTACTGGTGTAGGGTTTACAAGGTTTAGGGTTTTGGGCTTCAGGGTCTAGGGTTGGGAGCGCTTAAACTCTACCTTGAACCACCAAGACCTACCCTCTGCACGTAGGGCCTTAAACGTTCCATAGTATGGTTTATAGTTTATAGTGGTTTATGGTAAGAGCCCACAAGAAAGTCGGTCATGGTAGTCTAAGGTAGAGCCTATATGGGGGCCCCTTTAAAGCGTAAGTATCTACTATAAAGGTACATGGAGCCTTTGGGATACTGCCCTTTTGATTCCGCTGCAGACCTGGCTTGGAGCTTAGCTTGTATGGTTTAGATTCCAAACCCTTTTTCCCGTAAACCCTAAACCTTCTTGTTCAGTTCCAGACCTTGGACATAGAACTTCGTTGCTCTGTCTTTGGACGTAATCAAACAGAGACATTTTGAAGCTGTAGATGCAAGCGATGTCATCTCCATACTACCCACAGGGTCCATCTACTACCGTTATGGAATTATGTCTCACAACCGAGTACGGATGGTCTTTTGAGATCTAACTCCTTAGTGGTAGTATATACGGATTCGGTACTGCCCCCACTCAGTAACAGTTGGAGAATATTCAGAATATAGATATATTAGGCCCTTAATAGTAGCCCCATTATAGGCTGTTACTGTATGGGGGCAGTACCCAATAGATGGACGCTTAGGGGTACATATTGTCTTTACAGAGAAGACTACACGAAACTTCGGCATCCTTTGTTTGCTCGGGATTCTCAGAACCCGGTGTATTTTAGCCATAGAGACCCGGAGACTCCAATATCCCTCAATTAAGGAATATACCTCAAGTTATAGTGGGATCCCCAATATGATTTAGGAATATTCCTTAATTAAGCGATATTGTTTTGAGGGGCAGGGGACTCAGTAAGGAGTTACCCCAATTATAACCTTACTTATAAACGACTTACTAAGTCCCCTGCCCCTCCAAGTGGAGTCTCTCGGGAATCTCAGATTCGCATCAGACACCGAAAGAATGTCCAGAAACTCTAGAACCTCTTCCAGGAGGAGCACAAATCATAGAGGACTGGCCCATGTTCCCTTTTGGTGGTCTGAGGTTCCTTATGAAGCTACCCAGCACCAAAAAGGTTCTTTATGAAGCTACCCAGCACCAAAAAGGTTCCTTATGGAGCTACCCAGCACCAAGAAGGGAGCGCTGTTTCACCCTTATTCTACTAAGGATCTTCGTTACATACCTCTTAACCATCTCCGTGAACCTTGCAGTCTGAACCTTCAAAGCCCTGTAGCTCCTTCATAGAACCGTCCTGAGGGATTCTTAAGCACAGCCTGTAGCAAGGAATCTCAACGTAAACTTATTGAGGCCCTGTTCATATATAATGCTATCATAACCGGCTGTGATAGACTGCTCCTACCTCCTACACCTGATCAACTTCACCACGAAAAAAGCAAGCGAATATGAGACGACTAAACGCCTATATAATCGTATACAACCTCTTATAGAGCCGATTATGAAGGCTTGACTGCCTTCACTTCGAAACTCTGGTCCCTTGGCCTTAAATCCGGGATCCTACACCCGAAGAAAGGCCTTAAAACTTAGTAATTAGAACAGGGTTTTATGGTATGTTATATGAGAAGCCCCGCAAAATATGTTGGCAACTCTCTCGGCCCCTTTTGTACACGAATCAAGGGCTGTGGCTTAGGGCCTCATATAATGTAAACCCTATTCTAATTTATAAGGCCCCTTTCTTAAACCCGTGCGGTACCCTTATACTATCCCGGCCCTTGAAGGGGCCAAGTATTAAGGCCCCTGTAGTAGGTGGGCTCTGATGCTGGCCCTTCTACGCTCGGGAATCCTCGTCTTCCACTTGCTGCCGAGACCCGAGATTGCCTTTCTTAGCATTATCAGGTTTCAGGGGTTCAGGGCTTCGGGGTTTACGGGTTTAGGGGTCCAGGGTTGCTTGTGATCATGATTATGACTGTTAGTCTTAGTCTTGTTGGTATGTTGTGTGCTTGTTGTTTTCAGTGTTGTTGCTAGTATGATGAGCCGCAATATTGGTATTACTTTATTATGATGGCATCGGCTCTTCTGTCGGCCTTGAATACGGACCTCGCTGTGTTCTTATCCCATTCTAGATGTGGTTTTGCATGGTTTTAACTTGGAAGTTATGGATAATGTGTTATCCCAATCCAGAGGTTGTCTTGGTAGGGGCTTGAATATGGACTTTACAGTTTCTTTTCCTATTCTAGAAGTGGTTCTTCTAGGTTGGATTATGGACTGTGGCGTCTTATTTCTTTCAAGAAGTGCCTTTGATAAGTTTTCGATGCGGACTTTATAGGGTCTTTCTGCGGTTTTCCTAGGGTCTTACAGCGTTTTGTGTTGTTTAGGGCGGCTAAACCCGTCTTGGTCCTTGAAGGACCGGGTATAGCTATCTTGTACACTCGAGCTTTACGGTTCGTATAGGCAGAGTATGAATGATGGGTTTCTTTGGTACAAGCCCTAAACCCCAACACCCTTATAACCCTAAACCTCAAACCCGTACCCTAAGGCTCTAAGCACTCATATTTCAAGGCTTTTGGGCCTAAAGACCATATTACATAGGGTTTTTGGGTCATTTCGAGCCTTAGGGTTATGCAGTAAAGCCCTTATGAACCCTAAACCTCGGCTTGGAGTCTTCTCGTCAAGTGCGTACAGGCTTAGACCCCCCCCTCACACCCTCAAATCGAAGCTCTCACAAGACACGTTTGACACCGTATATGGTACTATCAGTAGTGGCAATGGTAGCAGTCGTCGTCGTAGTAGTAAAAAAGTGGTGGTAGTAGTAGTAGTAGTAGTAGTACTAGTAGTAGTAGTAGTAGTAGTAGTAGTAGTAGTAATAGTAGTAGTAGCAGCAGCAGTAGCAATAGCAGTAGTAGCAGCAGCAGTACTGCTACTATTGTCAGTAGTATTATTAATTATTGTCATCAAATGCTATCATTCAGTTTTTAATGTAGGAACGTGGTTAAAAAGCCCTGGGCCTATAACGTCAAAATATATTAGCTCGAAATAGTAGGTAGGAGCCCTAATAAAGGCCCAAGGTATCTTAAACAGGCTTCTACATTATATGTCTTCTTGTTCCGGTGTTGGAACCGGTTTGCTCTGAAGGCTTGTTTTCGTCGCGGACGAGGTTGGCGATGTCATGCTTCTGCAGATGCCTCAGATCTATACTAGGGATCTATAAGGGTTCCCCATAGGGATCTGAAAGGGCTCCTTTAAAGGATCTAGAAGGGCTTTGTTCAAGGATCTATATTTCAAGGATCTATATGGGTTCCTGAAAGGGTTTAGGGTTTGAGGTTTAAGTTACCAGAACAGAGATCTATAGGAAATATGATGGTTTCCTTATTGTGGTACCTTATATTACATCCCTTAACAAGAACCCAGGCTCTGGGTCTGTGTCCAATTTGTGCGGTCAGGGTTTAAGGTGCTTTAGGGTTTAACTTGGGGTTTAGGGCTTTGGGTAGAACTTTATCTACATCCCACAACCCCGAAGCCCCATCACCCGAAACAACAGCGGTGTGGCTCCTTGCACGGCGTTTTAGACGTGTGTTTGGAGTATGTGCCGAGCTTTCCGGCAGACTGCTGGCTTTTGAGGCACTTGCAATTTAATGGGTGGTGGCAAGTGATGTCGTAAGTAGCATAGCATGGGTCACACTAGTTGCAAACTCTCCGCTCTCATGACCTTAAACCCCAAACCCTAATCAGCTGACACTATCCCATGAGAAGACTTTTACCATCAAGCAAAATATGGTCTTCATCCTCCGCTGAGCCTCCGGTTTTGTAGAAGCTTCGTGAAAGCACTTTTGTAGCAGTCGGATCTCCCTTAAAAGACCCATAACCAAAATAAAAGCCTCCTGCTTCTAAAGGGTAAGAGCGGCTGCATGAGAGAACCCAAAAGCTGTAGGGAGTAGGGTTAGACCCGTAGATGATGTTGATGACGATGATAATGATAATTAATGATGCATTGTGATGGTGATGATGACGGTGATGAAGATGATGAAGAAGATGATGATGATTATGATGTTGATGATGCTGATGATGGTGATGATGACGACGGTGATGGTGATGATGATGTTGGTAGTGGCATCGGGGTTCAATGGTGGCCACAACAATTGTGGTGGAGGTGATTGAAAGAAGCCGGCAAGAGTCGTGCAAGCAGTTGAGCCGATACTCCTACACCCTGCAACCCCAGACCTTAAACCTACAAACTACAAACAAGAAAGGGTTTAGGGTTTACAGTAGAAGCCAGAAAGTTGGCATATCATTATCGTAACCACTTTAAGGTAAATTATAGGGGATCCTACCATTAATCCATATTCCAACTTTCCCTTTAGGGTGTTAGAATCAAGTTGGGTCTTCGAAAGTCCAGTCCGCAGGTATGTGGTGCCCTTGGCGTTAGCTGCTGCCAACATATTCGCACAGGCCAGGACTGTGTAGGCAGTACACGGTCCAGACCAGAGGCGATCCAGAGAGAGAGAGAGAGAGAGAGAGAGAAAGAGTCAGAGAGAGAGAGAGAGAGAGAGAGAGAGAGAGAGAGAGAGAGAGAGAGAGAGAGAGCGAGAGAGGGAGGGAGAGAAACAAAGGCAGACGGTATATAACCTGACAACAACTAACTAGGGAGATAACCCCGGGGAGAAGCAAGGACATAAAGAGTGTGTACAGTAGTGACTGTCTAGATGTAGCACGCGGCTACTCTGCACACAGGTGCATACTATCATCTATACACGTATGCACATACGAGTGCTCTTTTGACTGGTCAGCCATGCAGACGGCGCGTGGGCTCACGATATTACAAGTGGCCGCACATACTTGGACAGAGACCTGGACGCTTTTAAACGTCATCCCATCACCAAGCCGGAAACCTTGCTTCCGAAGAAACGTGGTTACCTTGATTGAGGAGTCGCGAAGCTTGAGAATTCGCTTCAACCTCAACCATACAAGCCCTGAATCCTAAAGGGTTTTTTGTCCTCAACCATAAGCTCTAAATCCTAAAGCGTTCTTTTGTTTATTGTCGTGTTTGGCTTGGGGCTTTCACCCGCTTAGCCCGCAAGTGACTTGGAGACTAGGCCAACCCCCAAGCCTAAACTTAAGAGCCAGACAAAACAGGCTCCCCTCGACGAACCCTAGACCCTTAAAACTTAAACCCTAAACCTTTTCCTGGAACAATGCAAGAGGGAAGCATAATTCAACCTGTTTGTACCAAATCACCCTTATAAGTGGCAAGGGGGTTCGATACTCATAAGCTATGAACCCCTATTCTGGTATATGCCTACCAGGGTTCGATACCCTTAAGCTATGAACCCCTATTCTGGTATAGGCCTACCAGGGTTCGATACTCTTAAGCTATGAACCCCTATTCTGGTATAGGCCTACCAGGGTTCGATACTCTTAAGCTATGAACCCCTATGGTATATGCCTACCAGGGTGTTCTGCCCGCGCCTGCGCAGTTGGCGCTCCTTTGCGTGGTGTCGGGTCGACGTCGACTGCTGGCAGCCTCCAGGAGGCGGGTCTCTAGCCCAAAGGCTCCATGTACCCTTAATAGGGTTCCTTTAAGGGTTCTATAAGGGGTATCATAAGGGTTTAGGGTTTAAGGCTCCATGTACTTTTATAGTAGATACTTGAGCCTTAAAGGGCTCCCCATATAAAGGGGTCCCCATATATAAGGCCCAAGTATATACTATATGGGCACATGGAGCCTTAGGGTAAGGTTTACAGCTCAGGGTGTGTGGCTTAGGGCGAAGGGGTCTGTACGGATTGGTTTAGAGTTAAAGGGGTTCTAGCGCGTTCCATAGGGGTTCTAACACATCTTGGGGTTCGGGTGGTGTGGAGTGCGGTAGAGCTTCAGTTTATTCAGCATTGTGTCCGGAATGAAGACCACATACTTGGAGGATCATTGGACATTGTACCTAAGGTTGCTTTATAAGTACGTTATTTGGGGTTATAGGTGTCAATGTAGCGTTACCCCAAATCTAACCCTGCTACGAAGCCCCATAATTCCTTTATGCACGGAATCTGTTAGGGTCGCCCAAGAAGGTTAATTAACAATATAGTCACCATCCGGATGCAAGAAGTTCCGCCTATTCGACTACCTCAAGGTACACTCCTTGGGGGTAGTATAGGGGCCCGGGGAACCTGCTATTCCTTATTAATGTGCCCCCAATATATGGGTGGTTGTCAAAATTAAGGTCCCTTTTTGGGTACCCTGAATAGTAGGTGCCGTACTATAACAGGGACCAAAAACGGGACCATAATTTTGACAATCACCCATATATATATATATATACATATATACATATATAAATACATACATACATACATACATACATATGAGTGATAAGTCTCCCTTCATCCTTACTCCAACATTCAAGGCCCTCACGTTCCCGACACCGAGTGGGGGCAGGCCACAGCACTTGCTCCACAGCTTCACCATGACTTTCAAGCTGCACCTGGATCTTGCTTTGGCCTTAGGGTTTAGGGTTCAGGGTTTAGGGTTTAGGGTTGGCTGCGGCTGAGGTTTTCAGGGCTTCAGTTTGACTTCAAGTCAGCTTTCTGGGGGTTTCAAGTCAGGGCTTGAGCATTTTTGCCTTCGGATGTAATGTTTTGGGGTTTCAAGGTAAACAAGTGAATATGTACTTTGATAAACTTCTCCCACTACATTCTATCGCCCCTTCTACGGGCACTTCCCCCACTTGGGCTTAGAGTGCTGCCGTCAAGCGATCCGCCGACTGTTCGTACAAGGCCGTGCTACTCCTACCGCTGCCACAACTGGTATTACTATTCCTGCTTTTCTTTGCCGGGAGCAGGAAAATCTACATGCGTCATGCAATCGTTGCAGTTGTAAGACAAGGGACGTCAGCACCAGTACCCTAGACGCCCATGTGCCTGGATAATATATGGGAGTTTCCGATCATGGGGGGTTTAGGGTTTAGGGTTTAGGGTGATACGTAGTATAAGGACCCTTTAAATAAGGTACTCCTATTTTCCGAATCTCCCATATTGGCCCTGAATTTGGCTTGCACACAGTAACTTTCAGCCTGCCATATATACCTATTGGGTATTGGGTATATGGTCTAGGGGTTAGGGGGTAGGGTTTTGGGTTCAGGGTTTAGGGGTTTTGGGTTTTGGGCTTTGGGTTTAGCGTCTTGGGTTTAGGGTTCAGGTGGCAGAAGTGATAATGTCTGAACCCCCTAAATCCCTATACTCTTTCCAAAAACCCTCATCCCTAAGCCGTACGTACACTTCTTAGGCCCAGTTTTAGTCCCAGGGACATTGAGCCTCTGGACCTGAAAGAAAGACAGCCCTGGACCCTAAAACGTAAACCCTGAACCCTGAGACCCCAAAGCCCCGAACTCTAAGAACCCTAAATCACCAAACCTGAAATCCCCAAACCCTAAAACCCTATATCCCCAGACCCGCAAATATCCTAAGTCCCCACCCCACACCCTCAAGCAACGTTGTGATGAATCCTTGCAGGAAGGCTCAGAGTCCTTCTCGAGTAAAGCTCAAACTAAATAACAACATTGGGAATGGTAGTGCAAATGCTATACAAACCCTGAAGCCCTGAACCGTCATGTTCTTGAAGAATATTTCTCTGTTATGATTGAGCTAAATCCTGAAGCGCCAAACAATAGAGTCCGAAGAGTCCCAAGCCTGAAGGACTCTACAAGTTCACGAGTAATAGTAAGGGCAGTACTCAGCATTATAGCAATATACAGTACTCTATATATATATATATGTAAGTATATATATATATATATATATATACACATGCAGTATGATTGTTCGATTGCTTGAAGTATAGGCGCCCGAGTCAGGATTATCTGACTTACATAACCAACGAGGACCTGTACTTCCTGTAGCCCGAGAAACTAAACTCTAAAGCTAAAGCTAAGCTTCAAGGTCCGTATGAAAAGTGCTTAGTTCTCCGAGGTTTAGGGTGCAGGATTTAGGGTTCAGAGCTCAGGATTTAGGGTTTAGGGATCAGGGTTTAAGGTTTAGAACTTGTTCCCCGACGTCACGTCACAGCACCAAGGCCGTTCCCATCCTAGCAAGGAGGCACCACTCAGAGAAGCTCGGTTGCACTTGGGGTAAGGACCAGGACGATTTGGGTGTTCCAGGGGTGTATATGCTAATATATGCAGTAGCACCTAAAATAACGAGTATGTGTTTACCTTCATATGTTTGTGCCCCAAACAGTCTGCTGTAGCGAATCTTGTGAATACGACTATGAAACGGAGTACCAACATTTCGTGACATGCACTTCGGCTTTCGTTTGTTGTCTCCGCTTGTGTCTGCTCTTGTCTCGCCTCATGTCGGAGATGTTTGAGGTCTTCGGCGGCATGTTTTTGCTATTGCGAGCTGACGTAGACGAGATGTTTGTGAATCACATGCCGCTTGTTGCAATCTGCGGCAAATTGGAAACGTCTGCCACATGCTGCAGATCTATTGCAGATTTGGTCCTCTTGGCTTCGAATTAAAAGGGGCATGATTTCGTACTGGGGCTTCGCAAAAGACCGACAACAACGCCTAAGGCCCACAACCCAAACCGCAATGCCGTCTACACACCCTGAGCCCGAGCTGCGTGGACCCTGAGAGCCTTACCAAGACCTAAGCCGACTTTCTACCCCTAAGGCTCCATGTGCCCATATAGTATATACTTGGGCCTTAAAGTACCTATATGGGGACCCCTTTAAGGCTTAAGTATCTACTATAAAGGTACATGGAGCCTTTGGGTACGATGCAGAAGGTGAGGGTGTCCCACTTAGGTGGATAGGAGTTACACGTGGCCATACCGAAAAGAATAAGGAACTCATAGTGAGCACTCCCTTATGTGGCTCATTGATGTTGGTAAGATTTAGGAATCATGCCTGAACCCCGAACCCTAATCCCTAAACCCTAAACCCCTAAACCCTACACCCCTAAAGGCTAAACCCCTAAACCCTAAGCCCCTAATCCGTCCATTCTTCCAAGGCTTTGGCGGGCAAGCGTCGTCCTGGTGACGCTGGAGCTCCTTGTCCAGGCCGTCCTCGCTTGGGGGTTCGGAGAGTGTGGGAAATTACGCAGTGTTCTTGTAAAGCCCAAAGGCTCCATGTATTTTTATAGTATACATTAGGTACTCAAGCCTTAAAAGGGGTCCTTATATAGGTACTTTAAGGCCTAAGTATATACTATAAAGGTACATGGAGCCTTCGGGAAACTCCAAGGGATCAGAGAACAAAATCATGTTGGCATGAAGCCAGACCTTCCAAAATCCCTTGATTAAGGAATATACCTCAAATTATAGTAGGATCCCTAATATGATTTAAGGCATATTCCTTAATTAAGAGATTTTGGAAGGTCTGGAAGCCTGCTCTCCGAGCTTCCGGGGGTGGGCACCTGCGAAAGCTCTGTGTTGGCCTGGACCCGAAAGTCCTACACGGAACTCCTTTCTAAGGGAGCCCCAACCTCGATTCTACTTAAAGGGAACTCCAGAAAGTTGGAATATGGTTTCATGGTAGGATACCCTATAATTTACCATAGACGGGTTAGGATAATCATATTCCAACTTTCTGGCTTTTACCTTAGAGCGTAAACGGGGATCTTGTTGGGGAGTTTAACTTAAGTTACCATAATAGGGATCTATAGTAAAGAAATGTGGTTTCCTTATATTATGGTACCTTAGAATTGAACTACATCCCTAAACCGGGCCCTTTTTTTTGTTGGGTGTCTTAGGGGCCTTGGAGAGATACCAACACGAAACAGGGAGCCCTTTTTCATCTTAGGGTGTTGCGGATCCTAGGTAAGGTAGGGACTATATGGGTACTTCTGCTTATGAGAGCAGTTCCGCAGCCGTCGACATCAACCCTAAACCCTAAACCCCTAAACCCTAAACCCTAAACTGCCTCCAGCCCCATTCCGAATCCGAGTTCAGTCCCAAAGGGTCCAAAGTACTGTTATGGGGGATACTTCCCAGACCTTCCAAAATCCCTTAATTAAGGAATATGCCTTAAATTATAGTAGGATCCCTAATATGATTTAAGGTATATTCCTTAATTAAGGGATTTTGGAAGATCTGGGTTCCCCCAATCATAATAGTAATTCCTAATATAGGAACCCTACCTTCTACCATAAAGGTACTTTGGACCTTCTGGGAGTGTCATGAACTTGCGGACACCGTCCGAAGATCATTAGCCGCTTACTTAAAGGATCATGGGACTTCGTAAGTAGGTCATAATTGGGGTTATAAGTCCCCTAAGTGGGGTTACCCTAATTATAACCTACTTATAACCTTACTTACTAAGTCCCATGAGCCTTTAAGTAATCATTAGCCGACTAACGGAACCAGCCGCAGGGCTCAGCTTACTTGCAGGCGTTGCCAGACCCTGCAACCCTAAACCCCAAGCCCCGGACCCGAACCCTAAAATTGCCAGGTCTGACGTGGAAGCAGCTAGCTTTGGTGCATACATACTTGTTGCAAGGTTGTGTGAGGTTCTAGAACCTTTTAGGTTTACGGCTTTCTTTTGAGGCTGCGGGCTCAAAGTTGTGGGCTGCAGCATCGTTACAAATTACTACATCGCGAGTTACCAGATCCTGACACCAATTCCTAGACTACAAATCCGTAAACCCTCAACCCCAAGCCCAAACCCCTGAACCTTAAACCCTAAACCCCTGCTCCAAACCTAAACCTTAACCCAAAACCCCCTAAGCCCCCAAAACCCCATAAACCCCCTAAACCCCCAAACCCTAAAGCCCTACATAAAACCCTAAACCCTATAAAGCCTAAGCCCCTAAACCCCTAAATCCTAAATCCCAGAGGTCTTTGTCATAGTTGGGTAACATTTTACATGTTTATGGGTACTTAAACCCAATAAGGAATAAGAATTTAAATTGTTAATCCCATCCCGACCATGAACTATAGGTGGTCTACCCTGTGGTCAGCTTGCTTCGTGGCCTTTGTCCGGGACGACTTCGGGTCTCTGCAACAGTGCCTGGGCTCACTATCACGCGGTTTAGGGTTTAGGATTTAGGATTTAGGGTTAAAGGTTTAGGGTTTAGGTGTAGGATAGGATTTAGGGTTTAGGGTTTAGGGTGTAGGAATTAGGAGTTAAGGCCGTTTGGGGATTTAGGGGTGTAGGATTTAGGATTTAGGGCCGTTTGGGGATTTAGGGGTTTAGGGTGCAGGAATTAGGATTTAGGGCCGTTTGGAGATTTAGGGGTTTAGGGTGTAGGATTTAGAATTTAGGGCCGTTTGGGGTTTAGGGGTTTAGGGTTTAGGGGTTTAGGGTTTAGGGGTTTAGGGTTTGAGGGTTATCGTGTTTCACACACCCGAAGTTGCATGGAATCGGGTCCAAAGCAGACGTCTGGTACCCCTTTCGGCCAGTAAACCCAGTCGGATTAAGCACCTATCAGTTACGGTGTAGGGTCAGGTTTGCTCGTCGTGCACTTTCTGGTGGTGTAGTTTTGCTTTCGGTTGTTTACCGGCGGTGACAGGGTGTTGTATTGACAGGTCAGTGTTTTCATGGTTTTCACAGTATAGGCTAGGGCGCTGAAATCAAAAGAACCTTGTAGCAATCCCTGAAGTTGCTTTTGATTCACCTGATGTTTGGAGGATCATGAGACTTAGTACGCAAGGATAAAGTACCGTGTTGGGCTCATAAGTGCTCATAATTATTGTTACCCTAACAACAACCCCAGTGAGTTAGTCTTATGATCCTTTGAGCAACCCTAGGCCCTAAACCCTGCTTATACAACCATTTAAAGATCCCTAACAGGAACCGGTTAAGGTGCTCCATGACCCTTTTAAGACTCTTAGTTTTCACAGATCCCCTTTAGACCCCTTTTGAAAAATAGTTGTAAAAGGCGCGTTAAGTTACTAAGTCCCATGATCCGATCAAGTGGTATTGCAAGGCAATGCGGCGTGCACAGGCGCTGCTGTCGAATCCCCGACCCAGTCTTCCGGAAACTTGGCGTCACAACGGGCTTACTTGGAGGGGCAGGGGACTTCGTAAGTAGTTTTTAAGTAGAGTTATAAGTACCCTAAACGGAGTTACCCCAATTATAACCCTACTCATAATCGACGTTTTAAGTCCCTTGCCCCCCCAAGTAGGGATTCGAGTTTTAGGATTTCCGGTTTAGGGGGTTGCGACGGTTTGCGGTTTAGGGATTCGAGATTCGGGGTTGGGCTGTGAACGGCAGGGTTTGGACCTTTGGTGTGGGCTGCAGGGTTCAGGTCAGGATACGTGGTGTTTTTGGTAAGTGTTTTAGGGAGAGGTATGGCTGCTCAAGATACCCAAACCGCTTTGCGAGCTTTCGGTTACAGGAGAGTTTCATGCGAGTGTTGAGTTCTATTTGTGTGCCTTTATACAGGGTTTCATAATGGTTCGGCAAGTGTTTAAACAGGCTTTTGCAATCGCTTAGTTATGCCTGCTCAATCTGGAATTACGTAGAGGTCATGGGGTAATACATGCAGGGGACGGCAGGCGTCTTTCGCTAATCTTTCACCCTGTTTCAAAGGGTGTATACTCCAACAAATAGTAACCTACATACCTATTATCCGAAGTCTGAGTACCTCATCGCCGGGTCCTATGGCCCCTTAGGATATGTATTGATACATCCTTTCAAGCCATTTCTTTCAAACCATTTCAATACCTTACTCGAGCCTTTAAACCCTGACTGCCACCCTGGTGATTCGTGTCCCTTTTAGTTCCCAAAAGCAGACCCAGATAGCAGGCTCCATTGTAGTTCCTTCTTGGAGTTAATATCTAGAATCCTATATAGACTACTATGGAGCCTACGGGTAGATGATAGGGTTCTTACCCTCAACGGGCTAAGTCCACCCGAAACGCTAATGTTTACAAGCCCCCCTCAATACCCCTAAAGGTCCATGTACCCCCTAAACCCTAAACCCTAAACCGTAAACCCTATCTGCCGAGGAAGGCTTGGATGAGACGCAGGTGGATGCCCGTGCGCTCAGAAAGGCAAAGGGCTTCAAGGGTGGGATGAAGGAAGGTGGGGTAATCCCGAAAGAAGAGTCCTTATAGAAGGCATGCTTATTCCTACCTACCCTAAACCCTAAACCCTAAACCCTAAACCCTACCTTCTGAGGCCTCCAGGGAAGGCAGCAGGCGGTATTTGGGTTCCAGGTGACAGAGTCAGAGACAGAGGCAGCAAAACCCCAAAGCCTTAAACTCTGAGAGGCAGCAACAGTCCTAAACCCTAAACTTTCAGAGGCAGCAAAACCCTATACCGTAAACTTTCAGAGGCAGCAACACACTAAACCCTAATGGCAGCCTCCATCAAGTTGGTTTCTGAGGTGAAGGACGAGAAGGTGCAAGCCATGCTGGAGGCATCGGTGCACGAGTGCCCTCACTAAAGGCTTCCAGGTTCCTCCTACTTAATGCTCTAATATTTTCAGGCTTTCGGGCCTAAAGACCATATTATATAAGGCTGTTGGGCCATTTCGAGCCTTAGGGTAACGGATCATGGGACTCAGTAACTGGGATTAGGATTCGGACGCACAGTTAGTTATAATCCCAATTAGCCACGTAACACCTTACATACTACGTCCCATGATCCGTTGCGTAGGAGTAGTCCGGCTAGGAGTTCCACAACCCAGGAGTTCGCTTGACCCCAAGCCAATATACCCTTCCTGATGTCAGTGGTGCATATGGGTAGTTGTCAAAATTAAGGTCTCTCTTCTGGGTACCCTAAATAATAGGCGCCGTATTGTAATAGGCACCCCAAAAAGGGAGCTTAATTTTGACAACGACCCATGTAGCGCTCTCCCAAGCGCAGCTCCGGATGCGAAGAAACGACAAACGAAGCCTTGAACTCCGATCCCTACACCCTCCAATCCCAGACCCCCGGAAAAAATCCAAAAAGTAGATCCCTTAATGGGGGGTTCCTATAAAGTATCCTTAGTAGTATAGGGCCCCAAGTTAGGTGATCTGCTTTCTAGATCCTCCCGGCGGTCTGGGATCCCACAGCCCCAATCCCTCATCCCTAAACCTTACCTTAACCCTGCAGAACCTCGATTTTTAGGGCTCCTTATTATGACTTCCTTATGTTTTTCCTTAGAAGGGTAGGTTTTCGTGTTAAGGTAAACCCTAAACCCTTACCCGAAGGCTCAAAATGGCCCAAAAGCCCTATATAATATGGTCTTTAGGCCCAAAAGCCTTCAAATACGAGTCCTTAGAGCCTTAGGGTTTAAGCCTTGGCCCCAAAGCCAGCGAGGAACATGCGCAGATGCCACCACGACGTGGGCTCGGCACTCGACCTCAAAGCAGTCGGCCCCTTCTTAGCATGTATACAGAAAGTAATGTAGGAACCTGATTAAGAAACCCTGGGCCAATAACCCCAAACAGTAGGGTTCATATAAGGAACCGTAATAAAGGCCCAAGGTTTCTTAGTCAGGTTCCTGCATTAGTACTGTACCGTAGATAACTTTTCGGGGTACTATACATATATACACACATATATATGTCATGCCGAAGTTTGACTTTGGGTTCTACGAACTAATTATAGGATACTGGACAAGTAGGCCGCTAACGGGTTCTGGCTTTACCCTCATAAGGTTTACAGCTTTGTTGCCCTAATTATTTGTAGCGCGCACACACACACACTCACTCTCTCTCTCTCTCTCTCTCTCTTTCTGGGGCTTTGCTGTGAGGATCGCCATCTACACTCTTATCAAGCCAGGGGAAGTTTTGCTCAGAGATCTGCATAAAATCTTCCCCTCTGCACAAAACAAGCAAAAGAAAACACAATCCTGAAATCCAGCACCCTACTTGAAGGATCATGGGACTTAGTAAGTAGGTTATAATTGGGGTTATAAGTCCCCTAAGTGGGGTTATCCTAATTATAACCTACTTATAACCTTACTTACTAACTCCCATGAGCCTTTAAGTACAGACTGTAACAGGCTCTGTGCTAGTTCAGCAGAGTTTAGTCTCCCAGGCGAAGCCCCAAGCCCCCCCACCTAGCGGTTTGAAGGGCCCATCTGCAACGGTTTAGGGTTTAGGGTTTAGGGTTCCCTAAATCCTAAACCCTACGTGGAGGGGCAGGGGACTTAGAAAGTAGCTTATAAGTAGAGTTATAAGTACCCTAAATGGAGTTACCCCATGTATAACCCTAACCCTAAACCCTAAGCCCTAAACCCGCCCAACACAAATGTGTGATATCGGGCAAGTCCGGGGTGGCCAGAGCTTCCAAACAAGAGGTGGAAGTCGCGAAAAAAACAAATATATATATATATATATATATATATATATATATATATATATATATAATATATATATATATATATATATATATATATGTTTGTATATATATATATATATATATATAGCTGGCTGTGCGGCTCAGAATTTGGGAGAGGTGGGCGGCCGAAATCGCTCGCGCTGGGAGTGGACGGCGTCACTGGCGCATGACAATGACGACGATGCGTGTTGGCTTTGCAAGGCGAGCCGCCGATTCCTCACCTTGAACCTGTCCCAGAAGGACAAGAAAAAGAGCATACCGATCATGGTCCACTGCTTGATGCAGGGGAAACGCCCAGGGCGACGGACTTGATGATAACCCTAAACCCTAAATAAACCCTAAACCGTGTGATTGTGGAGCTGGAGGCCAACCAGCTGACGGCCATCATCCAAACCATTCGTGAGGAAGACCTAGACCATGTCCTCGGCCAGGCCAAGCGAAGAAAGACTAGGGTTCCTTTAAAGGGTTCCATAAGGGATAGATGCTCTAAGCGCTCTATAACATAGGGGCCTTACCAATTACCTGTAGTGTGTTGGGGGTTCCTTATTTTAACTTATAGTATAATGAGCCCCAAAACCCTATTCTAACTGTTACGGCCCTCATTTTATTTAAGCGAGGGGCCGACTTCGGTGAATAGTGCCTACCTCCAGACCCAAGGTTGGCTCAACATGACTTTATACAGTTCTGCGACCCGAAACCCTAACCCTAAAAGTCGAAAGTACTCGATGCTGTTTGACTTTTGACCCGTTTTAGGCACCAAAATTCATAAATAGGGACTACTTGGACCATGAAGGTATTGATTTTGAGGGGGAGGGCTCTCCTTGACGGTGACGATGAAGAGTGGGGTGGTAAAGATGAGGGTTTAGGGCTTAGATGTGGAGCACGAGTTTGGCGATGAAGGTGAGTTTTGCAGTTGACAGGATCATACGGACCCTTAGGGGGTAATTGACTATATTTCCTAAGCCCTTGTTATGGGCATTACGGCCCCTACCCCCCCCCTCCCCCTACCCCCCTTAAGGGTCCCTATGAAAGCAGGTTGACGAGGGTGATCGCCGTACGCAAGCTCCGACTTTGTATGATTCGCTTCGCTTTTGACTGCCGGGCTCCAATGAGAGTCCCACCATCTCCCATGCCTCGTGAGTGTGTCGGGGACTTAGTAAGGGTTCTTAAAGGGCTCCTTAAAGGGATCTATAGGGATCCTTAAAGGGGTCTATGGGGTTTAGGGTTTAGGGTCTACTTAAAGGATCATGGGACTTAGTAAGTAAGGTTATAAGTAGGCTATAATTAGGATAACCCCACTTAGGGGACTTATAGCCGCAGTTATAACCTACTTACTAAGTCCTGATCCTTTAAGGAGGTCATTGGAAGGGGTGGGTCTAGCATGTGCAGCAAAATTAAGCACAGAGCCCCTCCTAAACCCTAAACCCCCACCACGTGTATCCTTCATGTGGGAGTTTCCGAAAATACGGGACCCTAATGTAGTACCCTACATAGTAGGCTCCTTACTATACGGACCCCAGAATCAGGTACCCCTATTTTTCGGAAACCCCCATGCAAGTGCTTTGGATCCTCCAACCCTAAGGCCTAAGGCTCTAAGGACTCATGTTTTAAGGCTTTTGGGCCTAAAGGCCTTATTATATAAAACTTTTGGGCGATTTCGAGCTTTAGGGTAACCTTAAACCCTAAACCCTAAAAAAAGGAGGCTCGAAGCCCCGGACTCATCCTTCTGCGCCCAGGTCCACGTCCAACTTCAACACTCCCAAGAGCACTGCCGGGAGCTTGGTTCTCCATGCGCCCATATAGTAGGTACTTATAGGCCTTAAAGTACTTATGGTAGGGACCCCTCTAAGGCCTGAGTATCTACTATATGGGTATACCTGGGGATCCAAAAACCTACCGTTTTAAGGGTCAGACCCTCTAATTAAGGGGTCATAACCTACTATTTAGTAGGGTTTGGAGTCACAGGTATACATGGAGTCTTAGGGTTTACAGCCGAGGAGTTTCGTTTTCTGAGCTCGGGTCTGCAAGCACGCGGCTTGACTCACGGGTCAGACCCTAAGGCTCCATGTACCCTTATAGTAGATACTTAGGCCTTAAAGTACCTATATAGGGACTACTTTGGGGCTTAAGTATCTACTATAAGGGTACATGGAGCCTTTGGGAGAATGTCTGCAAGCTGACCCTCAATCCTCCCAGTTAGTACTCTCGGTAACATGCCGAGTATCAGTACTGCGCCACGTAGGACCACCACCGCAACCAAACACCACCACCAGCAAGCCTTAGCTTGTAATAGTGATGTTACTACTGCTCTCACAATCTTTTTCTGAGAGTCCAGTAGCTGTTTAGTAGACATATTTTGGCCTTCGAGCCACGGAATTCGAAGACCGTAAGGATCCATAAGGCTTAACTAGAAACCCCAAAACGGTACAGTGTATACACCCATAGTCTCCATAGTAATTCCTTTTGGGGATTACCTTATAGGATTCTATGCGTGAGCCACAAAAAGGAGCTACTATGGAGCCCTAGGGTAAGCCCTTGAGGACGAGATGAACCCTACAAAGGGTTTAAGGTTCAGATACCATATCGGGATTCATATTGTAAGATTCCCTAAGGCTCCATGTACCCATATAGTATATACTTAGGCCTTAAAGTACCAAAAGGGGACCCCTTTAAGGCTTAAGTATCTACTATAAAGTTACATGGAGCCTTCGGGATTATATTGCCCTTACTTATAGGTAGGTACGTATCGTTCATTTGAAAACCTGGGGCCCCTTTGGGTCTAGAGAAGCTCTTCGAGGTCTTTAGAACTATGCTTCAATGTACCAGAAAACCCAACTCGAATTATTAACGGTCCTTAAACCCTAAACCTTCAACTGTAAAGTGTACAAGAAAACCCAATCCGAATTATTAAGGTCCTTAAGCCTTAAACCTTAAACCGTACCTGAACCTACCAAAACCTACTTTTTCTAGGGACCCTATTAATTCCGTATTAGGGTTTATAATAAGAGCCTACTAAAAAGAGTACGTTTTGTAGGTTAAGGTATAGATTCGAATTATCGAGATCCTTAAACCCTACCTTAACCCTGAATAACCTACCTTTTTAAGGACTTATACCAGGAAATCATAATAAGGAGCCCTAAAAAGGCAGGTTATTCAGGGTTGAAGTAAGCCTTAAACCGTAGATGATTCCAGAGCAAGACCCAGGGGCCCTAAAGTAGTTCCTTTTTAGGTAGTATATTAAAGTCCCTAACCAAAAAAGAGGACACACCCAAAAAGGAACTACTTTGGGGCCCCTGGGGAGCCTTTGAGGTCGACGCCTTGGCGCTGGACAAAATCCCGCACAGCTCCCAGCGCTGCGGGCCAGTGAGGGGAGCCTCTTTGGGTTCCCAGACCTTCCAAAATCCCTTAATTAAGGAATATACCCTAAATCATATTAGGGATCCTACTATAATTTAAGGTATATTCCTTAATTAAGGGATTTTGGAAGGTCTGGGTTCTTTAGGTCTTAAGGGCCTTAGGGCCTTAGGGGGCAAGGGGGGAGAGGGGTGGGGGGCCTGAATACCAAGCAAAAGGACTTAATAAGGCTCATTTAAAAAAGTGTAGTCTCCTACCCCCGTCCCCCTACCCCCTAAGCGTCCTCTAGTCCTTCGGTTTTTTTGGCTCATCAGTGGCTATAGGTTTTTGAAATCAGGGAGTCCTTCGGATATGTTGGTTTTAGAGTTTGAGGTTTTGTGTTTGACATACGGATTTGAGTGGTGAGTAAACTCGTCCAGTTATCGGGTATAGTCTCATGTGACATTCCTTCAACCCGGGTCCAACGGGGAAGAATCCCCATATAAGGACCTCATCCCAGGTGATACTGTGTGCCTTTATATGTATATACAGTTATGACATATGTATGTATGTATGTATGTATGTATGTATGTATATATATATGTATATATGTATATATATAGAGAGAGAGAGACATGTTTGTATACAAATATTTTTTTGAACATATAACATATACATACATATGTATATGTAATTGACCAAAGTGTTACATGTGTGTGTATATGATATGAGCATGATTTCACGTGCTAACGCGTGTGTAGAGCACTGCAGGCTTTATAAGGTTGTTACGTCCAAGCACCTAATAATCATGCACTCGCCCAAATAGTAACCTACATAACCACTATCCGAAGTCTGAGTACCTCATTGTCGGGTCTTAGGGATCCTTAGGGTAGGGCTTAAGGGTTCAGATTGTTCAGGGCATGATTTGCGGGTGTCGGGTCTCTGGTGTGGAGTTCGGGCTTGAAACTTTAAAGCGGCGTAGGGTGGAAAGTATGGGCAAGGGTTGAATGCTGCGGGCTCGAGTGTGCTCAGAGTTCCGTCGTGAGCATGTCGATTTCTGTGGATGTGCATCTGCTGAGTGGCAGGCATGCCTCTATGCAAGTGGAAGCGGATGCGTCCGTTGCATCACTGAAGCACCGTGCCCAGACTGCCTTGGCGAGCAGAGGGCGGCTGCTGAATTCTTCTGGAGAGGTGCTTGACGGAGCACAAACTGTCACAGAAGCGAAGTTGATGAGTGGAGACGTGCTCACCCTACATGTGAACCAAGTCCTTCTTAAAGCCACCAAGGAGGGTGGTATGGTCTCTGCGTTCGCCGCGCTCCTGGGTGATGGCTTTGTGGTCTCCTGGGGCAACACCCGCGCCGGTGGTGACAGCAGTGCGGTACAGGATCGCCTGCGATCGCGAGATGTAAAACAAATCCAGGCATCTGTTCACGCATTTGCTGCAATCCTAGGTGATAGAACTGTTGTCACCTGGGGAGATGCCGACTGTGGTGGTGATAGCAGTGCGATGCAGGACCAGTTGCGAGATGTGCAGCAGATCCAAGGTTCTGATTGGGCATTTGCTGCAATCCTTGGTGATGGATCCGTGGTCACCTGGGGCAATGCCGGCTGTGGTGGCGACAGCAGTGCGGTACAGGATCAGCTGCGAGATGTGCGGCAGATCCAAGCCTCTTATCGAGCATTTGCTGCAATCCGGGGTGATGGATTTGTAGTCACCTGGGGCAATGCCGGCCAGGGTGGCGACAGCAGTGTGGTACAGGACCAGCTGCGAGATGTGCAGCAGATCCAAGCTTCTGGTGGTGCATTTGCTGCAATCCTGGGTGATGGATTTGTGGTCACCTGGGGTAGGGACGACTATGGTGGCGACAGCAGTGCGGTACAGGATCGGCTGCGAGATGTGCACCAGATCCAAGCTTCTTATGGTGCATTTGCTGCCATCCTGGGTGATGGATCTGTGGTCACCTGGGGCAGCAGTGGCTATGGTGGCGACAGCAGTTCGGTACGGGAGCAGCTGCGAGATGTGCAACAGATCCAAGCTTCTGATCTTGCATTTGCTGCAATCCGGGGTGATGGATCTGTCGTCACTTGGGGCAGTGCTGGCTCGGGTGGCGACAGCAGCGCAGTACAAGATCAGCTGCGTGATGTGCAGCAGATCCAAGCATCAAGTCAGGCATTCGCTGCAATCCTGGGTGATGGATCTGTGGTCACCTGGGGCACTGCCGACTTTGGTGGCGACAGCAGTTCGGTACAGGAGCAGCTGCGAGATGTGCAACAGATCCAAGCTTCTGATCTTGCTTTTGCTGCAATCCGGGGTGATGGATCTGTGGTGACTTGGGGCAGTGCTGGCTCGGGTGGCGACAGCAGTGCGGTACAGGATCAGCTGAGAGATGTGCCGCACATCCAAGCTTCTGGTAGTGCATTCGCAGCAATCCTGGGCAATGGATCTGTGGTCACCTGGGGCAACGCCGACCGCGGTGGCGACAGCAGTGCAGTACAGGCTCAGCTGCGTAATGTGTAGCAGTGCAGCCGACGTTTCTTGCGCAGAGTGAGACGCAGCTTATGATTTCCTGTCTTTCAAGGGGTGCTGTAGGTTTCAGTTTTGGTTACTTTGCGTCCATGTTCGCATGTTCTATGCTTTTTGCTTGTCAGCAATGCTGCACTTCTGATTCTGTGAGTTTAAGCTATTTGGTGATCTCAATCTCTGCGAGTCAGGCTGCCATTTCAGTTAGTTTTCTCAATAATGCTCTCATTCTTCTGACCTAATCTCCGGGCTCGCAAGCTCATTGTGTCCTCATGTTTATATATGGTGGTTGTCAAAATTAGGGTCCCTTTTTGGGTCCTTATTATAATACGGCACCTTATATTTAGGGTACCCAAGAAGGAACCCCAATTTGGTTAGCAGCACCAGGCGATCACAACAGTAGGTCTTTTCTACTCAAAAATGCCACTAAACCCCCAAGGTCCCAAGCACCAAATCCTCTAAACCTTTACTAGAGATAAATGGGCGGAACTTTAAATGTTTTGGCCTCATATATATATATATATATATATATATATATATATGTTGTCTATCATAGAAAGTTTAAACTGTTTGAAGGAGAGAGGTTCTGTGGGTCGAGGGGGGGCCTTGCTTTCGCATGTTATGCTTCGCGATTTGGAGGCCCACAACTTCTTTTCCCTACATGGGAGTTGGTCTCAGCGTGGTTTCAGAAGAGCGACAATTGGGAATATGCTGCCATGCGTAGAGATCTTAAGGGATTACGCCTACAGAGTCTTCAATTCGTGGGTTTATAGGGGTTAGGGCCTAAACAGCAAGACCACCGTGACGCTCTTCATCTTAAAAATCTAAAACAGGTTTATTGCTTGAGGTGGCTTGTGCCGACGTGTGTCCCTGCACGGATGTCGGTATGTGCGTACGTGTGTTGTTACGTTTGTGTGTGTTTGTGTCTCTGTGTCTTTGTGTCTTTGTGTCTCTGTGTCTCTGTGTCTCTGTGTCTGGGTCTCTGTGACTCTGCGTCTCTGTGTCTCGTCTGTGTTTCTGTATGCGTGTCTGTGTCTGTGCACGTGTGAATCTTGCGACTTTTTGTTGTTTTTTGCTGCGGTGGCGGTGGTTGATGAGATTGTTGCGGCATTTGCCAAAGCTTGCTGCCTGCCTACTTAAAGGCTCATGGGACTTAGTAAGTAAGGTTATACGTAGATTATAATTAGTATAACCCCACTTAGGGGACTTATAACCCCAATTATAACCTACTTACTAAGTCCCATGATCCTTTAAGTATGGGGCGTGGGTGGACAGTTGCCTGTACGGTGGACCAGCGGGCTGGGTTTCATGCGCGCACCAGGCTTTCAGTTTGGTCTGCATGTCGAGTTGGGTGGTGAGCAGGAAGCACCCAAGCACATTCTTAACGAGCTTTCCGAGATCGCATGTCATACATCAGACATCGTAAACCATCGCAATACGTAAACCCGAATAGCCACTCCGCAGCTCTTTTGAGACTGCAGATCCCTCCCGAGCCTTCAAAATCAATAGGCCTTCAAACTTTAGGGGTAGCACACTCAGCACGCAGTTCTAGACCCTTGTCAAGCCCCAATGACTCACAAAGCCATTGCACACACCCAGCTCTTCTACCCCAAAATGCCTTTGCACAAGCCGACTAAAGCCTTTACTTTATGAAGAAAACTCTTGATAAATCTCTATATTAACTCTCGCATGCCCGATCATGAATTGTAAGGCTTGATGATGAGGCCGGAACAAAACCCTGAAAACACCCATACTACCCTTTTGCTGAAGCTCTCCACCCTGATGATGAGGGCTCTATAAGACCCAGAAAGCATTAGTTTTCAGGGTGTACGGCTGTTGAATGCAGGCTTAGGCTTAGTAGCTGAGTAGGTAACGTTTAACCTTTTTGGGGTTTATACAATCCTACTAGACTTGAAAAGGTTGACCGTTTTTTGGGCTAGTGTATTCAGCTTCTAAGTAGGGGGTTGGGAATATCTAAAGCCCGAAAAGCAGCAAGGCAGGGTGTCTCGGTGCATCATGGTCGCATCGACCTCCAGGGAATCGCCTCCGAGAAGGCGGAGGGTTTTCTTGCTGGTGCTCAAAGCTCAGGGATTTAAGCTACTACAGCCCTAAGGGTCCAAGTACCCAAATGGTAGGGTTTCAAGGTCCAAAAACCATTCAGAGTATGGATTTGGGGCCTTAAAACCCTACTATTTGGGTACTTGGACCCTCTGGGATTGGGGCCGTAATAAATAGCAATAGTATTTTGGGGGTTCCTGACTATAACTATAGTACAACGGGCCCCGAAACCCTATTGTAATTATTAAGGCCCCTATATCAAGCTAGGTTAAGGGTTTAGGGGCGTAGAGGTTCAGGCTTTAGGGTGTAAGGATGTAGGGTTGTGGGTTTGAGACTTAGTGTTTTGAGCTAGTCTTTGGGTCTGTTCACGTTAGCATCATCAAGACTGGCGCACCCCGGCAGAGGAGTCACCAACAGCTCCCTCACCATCGTGAGCATAATCTCCTCCGTCCTCATAGTCGCGCAGTTCATCTTCACCGTTACTAATATTCCTCGGGGTTCCTGTTTCTAACGAACTATACTACAAGGTAATTACCACAAAGTCCTATCCTCGTTCCAAGGATCTTCGTGGTGCTCGTGAAAGGAGTGGTGGCAGTGGCAGCAGTCGTAAGTCGTCGGCGTTGTCGTAGTAGTACTAGCAACTGTCGGCTGCTTCGTTGTAGTGCGAAAAGCAATAGCATGAATGAGGACGACCACAGCTACGCCGATAGCTAAGCTCAAGTTTTGGATTGCGTGGTTTCCTTCACACACAGAGCCATCAATACCACTGGTGGTTTTGATTTCGTTTCAACCTAGTTGCTAGCAAACGTAGCAAGGTAAATGTGGCAAAGAGACTAGCGCAGTGTGTAGAGTGTAATTAGAATCGCCACAATACCCGACACATCGAAACACGGGCTGAAGTCTAATGAGTCTAATTACCTTGCGGGGCCTTCTGGTGGTGACAGGCTACAGTAGGTAGAAGCCCTGCCCCACAAGACCCGCGAAACAGTTCTTGGTTGTAAGCGCTTGGATGTTCCCAGTTCTTCTGCAGACTCCTCACACCGTCACACCCCCTGTCCCCCACCTCATATGTGACGAAACACAAAACGCTCAGAATAACCTGTCTCGGCTCCCTGCAATCCGGAGGTGCACATCCCTGGCTCTCGTCCGGCCCGGCTCCCTGCAAAGCCCGTAATCAGGAATGGTACTGCTGATGGGCAAAATCCGAAGTAAGACTGTACAAGTAAGATACCATGCCTCCCATATTTTGGAGGATGTTCTACACGAACATTGTTGGAAGCACCGTTAGCCAGAGACTTACGGAGCAGCAGAAGCTGTTGACTTGCGGAACCCCCTAAACCCTAAACCCTGCAAGCCCTGCAGTCAAAACCCTCAAGGACCCCATAAAACCCGGCTGACAACAGAGAACACCCTCAAAAGCCTGCAAGCCCTAAATTCAGAGCATGAAGCCCTTAAGCCCTAAAAGCCCCAACCCGGAATACTCTACCTCGGATTTAGGCTTGAGGGTTGAGGGCTTAGGGTTTAAGGCCCCAATTGACCTACCTCTTCAAAGACTTGTACCGGGAAATCATGGTAAGAAGCCTTGAACATGTAGGGGAACTGTACTTGGAGGGTCGGGGGACTTAGTAAGTAGGTAGTAAGTAGACTTATAAGTACCCTAAAAGGGACCCTAATTGGGGTTATGGTACTTATAAGTCCCTAAAATATCCAGTTGCTAAGTCCCCCGACCCTCCAAGTAGGTTTCATAGGGTTTGAGGGGAAGCCTTTTGACCCCACTGGTGGCAATTTGGAAACTTTTGCACTTCCCTTTATGGTTTCTACTTAGAGGATCATGGGACTTAGTAACTGGGGTTGTAAATTACGTAACTATGCTTATAACCACTTATACCCCCAATTAAGGTACTTACAACCTTACTTACTAAGTCCCATGATCCTTTAAGTATTCAGGTACCTATTCATAAGTATTTTCCAGAGCCCCCAAAGTAGGACCCGGTGTAAATCTCCGAGGCTGGGCCGGCAGGTCGCCGAATGTCACAGGCGTGGATCCATCCAGGGAGGTTGACAGGAAAGCAATCCCTAAGGCTCCATGTACCCGTCTAGTATATACTTGGGCCTGATAGTACCTATATGGGGACCCCTTGAAGGCTTAAGTATCTAGTATAAAGGTACATGGAGCAATACTAAGTTAAGGCCTACCCTCTTATTATAAACCCAAATACGGAATTTATAGGGTCCCTAGAAACAAGTAGGTTTTGGTTGGTTAAGGTAGGGTTTAAGGTTTACCTCAACCCTGAATAACCCACCTTTTCAGGGATCCTTAAGTATTTTGATTTCCTTGTATAAGTCCGTAAACAGGTAGGTTATTCAGGGTTAAGGTAGGGTGTTCGAGCTTACACGGTTTCGGTTTTGGGGGGGCTTGGTGATTCGGTTGTAGTTATGAGGGCTCTAGAACGCTGTTTAGGCGGATGCACAGAGTCTTTAAGGTGTGCAACCGCGGATTACCGGAGTCAGAAGGCGTCGAAAGAAGCCTAAAGTAAAAGCCAGAAAGTTGGAATATGATTATCCTAAGCCTTTTCTGGTAAATTATAAGGTATCCTACCCTGAAACCATATTCCAACTATCTGGAGTTCCCTTTATACCGTAGATGACAAGTACGACCCCGCTTGGGGTTACCTTACGACCTCCCAAAGACCAGACTCTCCACCCCCGAAGCTCAACCTGGCACCAAGCCCTCACCTTAAAAGCCCTATGAAAGGCCAAAAAATTGACAATATTTTCTGGGGCTCCATACTATAATTCTAGCATTATGGGCCCCAAAGCCTTATTTCAGTTATTCAGGCCCCCCATACTATAACACCCATAATACCCCTTATAGTCCTTTTTATAGATCCCTTTAAACGGAACCCGAACCCCCAAAACCCTATTATACTAATTAAGGCCCCTACATTACGTAAGAGCTGCAGCTCCAAACCTTACGTTTTTGGCATAGGGATTGCGGGGTTCATGGGTTTAGGGTTTAAAGGTTTAGGGTGTTTAGTTTAAGGCTTAAGGATTGTGGTTATGGGTTTATGGATTAGGGTTTGTGTTTTTGCTTCAGGGAGTTTTCGGTTATGGGGTTTGGTGTTGAGGGTCTCTCTCCCCAAAAGCTCTGCCCTTCAACCATCACTCACGCAGGAGTCATGTTCTTCCAGTTTTTTCTCGATGATGGTGGACCCGAGTTGGACCCTAATATATTACCCTATATTGTAGGATCCTTATTGAATAAGGTACTCCTAACGTTCGGATATTCTTGCCTCCTGGTTTCTTGGTGGTCCTCCTCACTCCCTAAACCCTACACTGCTAAACCCTCCACCCTAAACCCGTGGGACTTACGAAGTAAGGTTATAAGTAGGATATAATTAGGATAACCCCACTTAGGGGACTTATAACCCCAATTACAACCTACTACGTCCCATAATCCTTTAGGTAGCCTAAACTACCTCTTATAGAACCCCAATATAGATCCCTTAAAGGAGCTCTTTAAAGGAACCTACTTACTAAGTCCCATGAGCCTTTAAGTAGGGCCCGCTGGGAGGTGGGATCTGGTGGCCGCCGAATGTCCCAGGTGGGGGCTTTTGGAGTGTGGTTTCAGGGTTCGGCGGGTTCTGGTCTGGACATGACGGTTTGGGTTTTGGGTTTGTAGCTTTAGGATTCTGTAATTTAGCCTGACCACGACAAAGCCTGGAACACTGGCACTAAGGGTGCAGCAACATCTTTGAACACCCTGAAAATCCTAGGCAGAGTCTGCAGCTGGAACAAACGACCGACCATCTTCAGTATCATCCCCATCCCTTACCTTTGGATAGTAGGGAATGGAAGAATGGTAGTAACAGTAGTTATAAATGTACCCCATTCCTCCATTTCTCTACTAACCAAAGGTAAGATTCCCCATCCCCCCTGAACCCTAAACCCTGAACCCTAAACCCTAAACCCTCAACCCTAAAGCCTAAACCGTGGCCCCATCCTCGCCGGCATGCCAGCATGACGAAAGCCAGGGGCGACCCCCAGGTTACTGCCCTTCTGGTCCTCCAGCAGCGATTGTAGTGATTAAGGCCCCAGTATACTCTACGCCTTATAGATCCCTTAAAGGAACCCTTATAATTATAGTACCCTTTATAAAGGAATTCTATATTACTATACTGCCAGAACTTTGGCCACAAGAACAGCAGCAACGAAGCAGCAGCTAAAGTAAGTACTTCTGCTGCAACAGTGTGCTGCTACTGCTCCTACTCCTGCCTTTGGTCATGCCTCTGCTCCTGCTGTGCCTGGTCCTGGTCCTGGTCCTGGTCCTGGTCCTGGTCCTGGTCCTGGTCCTGGTCCTGGTCCTGGTCCTGCTCCTACTACGATTGTAGAGTTTTTTTGACAGATTACGACTACTGGTACGACTACGACTACGGCAATCACGACTACTCCGACGACGACTCCGACAATTGTTGCTGCATCTGAGAATCTGCTACTGCCGGGCACCTCTTCTTGGGATTTTGTATGGCCTTGAGGTTGCCAGCGGAGGAAGACGGATGTCCCAGGCCACCGGTGGTTAAACTGAGGTTGATAATAAGCAATGTGCCACAGTTTAGGGTCATTAAAGTAATGCAGGATTTATATCATCAGCCATGCTTCTACTGGGGTTTAGGGGCTCGGCTCCCTCGATAGATAGCTTTATCAGCCTTGACCGGCGAAGAGTTCCTCATAACACGGAAGCCTAGTCCCTGAACCCCCCTAAAGCCCAAACCCGAAACCACCCTAGGGAACTTGAGCTCCGCCATCGAAATCCGGAACCCTGGCCCACGTGATAGCAACATAGCCGCAACCGTCCGTAAGGGTTTATGGTTTAGGGTTCGGGAGCAGTCCGTATACCATATTCTGCTTAGTCTCGACTCTACACTACATCCTAAGGCCCTGCTTTGATAGTTAAGGCCGCTTTGTTACCCCAAGTCCGCCAAGTTATTGCACCCAAGCCTTCGGAAGCCAAGTTATTGCACCCAAGCCTTCGGAATCTCAGGCAGTGCAGCAGCGTTGGTACGTAGTACTCTGCATGCCTTCTCGTCTACCCAAAGGCTCTATGTACATTTATAGCAGATACTTAAGCCTTAAAGGGGTCCCTGTATAGGTACTTTAAGGCCTAAGTATATACTATATGCAGCCTGAGGGTGAGTCCATGCTACTCTATACTCACTCGGCGTGTTCAAGACATGGCGGAAGTACCGCCTAAAGCCCAAGCCCTACAACCCCCACAACCTATGGTTTCTCAAACCCTGTACCCCCTAATTAACACTAAACCCTAAACCCCCTAATTAACACTAAACCCTAAACCCCCTAATTAACCCTAAACCCTAAACCCCCAAATTAACACTAAACCCTAAATTTAAACCCCCAAATTAACACTAGACCCTAAACCCCCTAATTAACCCTAAACCCTAAACCCCCTAATTAACCCTAAACCCTAGACCCCCGAATCAACCCTAAGCCCCTGGACCCTAATCAACACTAAACCCTAAACCCCCTAATCAACCCTAAGCCCCTGAACCCTAATCAAGACTAAACCCTACCCCCTAACTGAACCCTAACCCTGAACCCATGCCCGACAGCCCTGCAAACCCTGAACCAACCTACAAGCCGAAGCCCATAAAAGCGATCCTGAAGAAAGAGAGCCCGAAATGATACCCTGAGGCTCTAAGGACTCCTTTAAAGGGGATCTATAAGGGGTCCTTTAAAGGGATCTATAGGGCTTAAGGCTCTAAGGACTCATATTTTAAGGCTTTTGGGCCTAAAAGACCATATTATATAAGGCTTTTGGGCTATTTAGAGCCCGAAATGATAGACTGAGCCACGGTTTAGGGTTTAGGGACTTCCCGACCCTCAAAAGCCACGGTTTAGGGTTTAGGGTTTCCGCAAAAGGCGGGGTGTGATGTTTGAAGGTTTCAGGGGTTTCAGGTTTGCTTTTTGTCGCGCGTGGCTTGGAACTTGGAGGGTGAATGTGTACGGCCAATCTGGAATTCGGTTCTAACGCCAGCTTTCGGAGCTTACTTCCCCTAAGGCTCCATGTGCCCATATAGTATATACTTAGGCCTTAAAGTACCTATATAGGCACCCTTCAAGGCTTAAGTATCTACTATAAGGGTGCATGGAGCCTTTGGGTTCCTAAATGGGAATGTAGCGGATGTGCCCTCTTGCATATGCCTCAGGCCAGAAGCCTGCTATGTCATGTTCCCAGTTCAAGTAGCTGCATATATCGAAAGTATTGGTTGAGGATTCAGGATTTTTGAGCCGTTCTGTGTGAAAGGTCGTCGTCTGCGCCAGCTGGTAGTCCTAACCTTAATTCATGCTGCGAGGTCGCCAGCGGCACGTCAAGCGGCCGTCGGATGTCACAGGCTTTCCCATGATGCAGGAGTACAGCTTTGTAGCTGAATTTAACCTTTAGCCTTTTGGGTTTGTATAACCCTAGGCTTCCAGGGACCTTATTATTGGGCCCTTAAGGGGTCTAGGGCCCTAATTATAAGGTCCTTGGAAGCATAGGGTAATCCTAGCATAAATTGAAAAGGTTAACCTTTTTGTGCCAGAGTACTTATCCCCTACAGACTGCAGGGTTCCACCCACCTCTCACCTCCTGCTTGACCATCGACTTAAGGCGTTGCGTTTAGGGATTGAGTGAGCTTGTGGGTGTGCAAGTTTGGATGTGACATGAGTCTTGGGACCCTAAACCCTAAACCCTAAACCCTAAACCCTAAACCCTAAGTTTAGGTCTGAGATTTAAAGTTTATGGACTAGGCCTGCTTATGTCGCGTCTAGGGCACTCTGGGGCACCGCTGTTGCGTCGTAGTCGTAGCTGGTGGGTATCGAGGCTGTCCCCAGCGAATCTTGAGTGCTCTTTTAGGCCAATGCTTAAGTGCTGTCCTTTGCGGGGGTCTTGGGTTTTAGGTCGTTGTTGTCTGGGGATCACCAAAGTTCCAAATATGTTTAAAGCACCTTCGGCGTGTGCGCTTTTTCAGAGGTGGTTTTTCGTCGCACTTCTACGAACCCCACCACCACCATATGGTCCTACCAAGCGTCGGGTTGAGGGGTACAGAGCCCCGAAGTTGTAGGAATTGTTCAAAAAATGGCCTGAACTGGTTCGGGTTTTGTTCTAAACTGGTTCGGGGCTTAGGATCTTGAAGCTTGCCCATAAAGGCTCCATGTACTTTTATAGTAGATACTTAAGCCTTAAAGGGATCCCCATGTTGGGCACTTTAAGGCCTATGTATATACTATATGGGTCCATGGAGCCTTAGGGTTACCTGCTGAGCAACTGCATCAGGTTGCCAGCGGTGGCTCGCCATCACGGAGGCATGAAAGGATCACACGTACTTGGGCATACATGCATTGATGCATGTATGCATGTACGTGCAGATGTATGTGTATACGTCTTGGTGTCTGAGTTCATGACAGTGCTAGTGCAATATTGGCGTGGTGATGTACTAAGATGTTGCTGTCTCCCAGTATTATGTTATTAAAACGAAATAATGTTTGAAATTGTAGAGATGTTTTGCAAACTGTCTGCACACACGTGAGATATCGTATTGCAACGTAATGCAATGTATCGAGATGTAATGCCATGTATTGTAATGTAACGCAATGTAGTGTCGCTCAATGTTAAAATTAATGTAGTGTATATGCATCGGTGAGGCATGCATGCACGCATCCCTGTAGTTGCAGGGCCCGTCCTCCCCGACGTCAGTCGGTGGAGTTCATGGCTGGCATCCAGCTGGATGTCAGGGCCCCGAGCAAGGTTTCAAAGCTTGCCCTAAGGCTCCATGTACCCATACTTGGAGGATCCTGAGACTTAGTAAGTAAGGTTATAAGTACCTTACTTGGGGTTATAAGTAGTTGTCAGTATAGCTACCTTATCTATAATCCCAGTTACTAAGTCCCATGATCCGTAAAGTGTAGTATATGCTTAGGCCTTAAAGTGCCCATATAGGGACCTCTTTGTGGCTTAAGTATCTACTATAAAGGTACATGGAGCCTTTAATTGGGCTTATGGCCTTAGGATTCAGAAAGCGCCTTACACCCTTACGCCTTTAAACTCTGCGGTCGGTGGCTCTGGGACCTGGGTGCGGAGACCTTCCAATATCCCTCAGTTAAGAATTTAATCGTAATTGGGCGTAGGATCCCTGATCAGATTCAAGGTGTATCCCTCATTTGAAGATTTTTTCGCAAGTTGTACTGTAGTAGGATCCCTAATATTCTGATTAAGGTATACTCCATAAAATTCTGCGTTGGATTAGGACTTGCCGGGCTTGGGTGCATTTCTTGGAAGCTGTATTTTGGGGGGGGGGGGTCTAAGACAGGGCCTGAATCATTAGTTGCTCCTTGGGCTGCCGAAAAAAGGGTTTGGCACCAAACTCCCCAGCACCCTAGACCAAAAAAATCCTCAATCCGAAAAACCCTAAAACCCTTAACAACCCTAGGAACCCTAGTCTAAGTATTGAGGCCCCTGCTTCTCCAGAGCCCAAAGCAGCCAACAAAATTCATCACAACGGCACAACATGCGCTTTGGGGGTTCAAGTTCCTAGGGTTAAGGGTTTAGGTACTCCCTAAACCCTGAAGCCTAAAGCCTAAACCCTGCACCTAGGCCTTGAGATGTAGATCGAGACACCCGGAAAATCCTTCAAGCTCCCAATCCTGAAGTCTTCGTCCTATTCCATGACGAGGACCAGAGCAAGCCCTTATTCCCTTTTTCAAGGTTTGGTTCTCTCATGACCCCCTTTAACCCAGAAAATGGGCACCTTTTTTATTCCTAGGTTACTCTTGGGTCTAGATCAGCAACCCCTACAAGGGTTTAGGGTTTGGGGTTTCCATAAGGGTCTACTTGCCTACGTAATAATCATATATATATATATATATAATATATATATATATATATATATATATATAAGTATATATATATTTATGTACACTCTCCCAAGTAGTTACCTACATAACTACTGTCCGAAATCTGAGTACTAAGTATTGGGTCCTTTGGACACTTAGGGAACTCCGTAATATGGGGTTACTTCTCCAAGCCATAGTAGTAGTTGCTACTATAGAAACCCTTCTTTTGACCATACGGGATTACATGTACTTGGGACCCTTTGGGGAAACAATTCGATCTGAGCCACAAAAATTCAACTACCATGGCTCAGGATGAATGGCCTCTCTTCGAGATGTTGCGTTCAGGGTTCATGTTTCAAGCCCAACCCCCAGCCCTAAGGGGCAACCCCAAACCCCAAACCCTCTTGAAACTCGACCTCAACCCTGAACCCCAAACCCTAATGAAACCCTACCTGAACCCTGAACCCCAACCACCAAACCCTAAACTCTGAACCCTAAACCCCTGAACCCCTAAACCCAAAACCCCTAAACCTCAAACCCATAAACTTCAAACCCCTAAACCCCGAAAACCTCAACCCTGAACCCTCGTTCGATTGTTTGCCAGTCAAGGAGGGACGCTCACCTTCAAAAGGGCCCGGCCCTTGAACGAAGGGCTTCGTGGTCCGTGCCCTTCCGTTTCACGGGTTTTGGGTTTAGGGGTTTAAGGTTCAGGGGCTTAGGGGTTCAGGGGTTTAGGGGTTCAGGGTTTAGGGGTTCAGGCGCTCAGGGGCTCAGGGTTTAGGGTTAAGGGGTTTTAGTTTTTTGGGGTTAGGTTCCGGAGTTCGGGCTTGAGGGTTTGAGGGTCAGGAGGAGGTGCAGGAGAGGGGACCGGAGCAGCAGGAGCAGCAGCAACTGACTACAGCTCGAGAGGGCCCGCTGTGTCACTTATGTCCTCAACCCTAAACCCTAAACCCTAAATACTCTTTATCATATAGTAATTTAAACCTTAATGGATTTCGTGGGATAGGCACAAATTTGTGCCTACTCTTCGTGGGACAGGCCCGTCCCACGAAAAAGTAGGCCCAAACCCACGAATTTGTGCCCACCCTTTCGCGGGACAGGCCCGTCCCACGAAGAGTAGGCCCAAACCCACGAATTTGGGCCTACCCTTTCGTGGGACAGGCCCGGGCCCGTCCCACGAAAAGGAAGGCCCAAACATGGGCCCGAATTTGGGCCTACCCTTTCGTGGGACAGGCCCGGGCCCGTCCCACGAAAGAGTAGGCACAAACCCACGAATTTGGGCCTACCCGTTCGTGAGACAGGCCCGTCCCACGAAGAGTAGGCCCAAACCCACGAATTTGGGCCTACCCTTTCGTGGGACTACCCTTTCGTGGGACAGGCCCGGGCCCGTCCCACGAAAGAGTAGGCACAAACTTGGGCCTACCCGTTCGTGGGACAGGCCCGTCCCACGAAGAGTAGGCCCAAACCCAGGAATTTGGGCCTACCCTTTCGTAGGACAGGCCTATTTCCAGCTGTGAAAGAAGTGAAACCTTGTATTTCCGTGATGTTATGGGATTCTGAGGGTGGGTGGGTGTTATTTCTAAACCGTAAACACAACTCTACTTTAAAACTGCTCGATCCGGAGCTGCTGAACCCTAAACCCTAAACCCCTAAACCATAAACCCTAAACCCTAAAACCCTAAACCCTAAACCCCTAAACCCTAAGCCCTATACACCGACAAGGAGCCCTTAAAAAAACAAACCTATAGACTCTATAAACCCTAAACCCTTTGGACCTTAAACCCTAAACCGTCTCAAACCTGCGACCCGCCAAGACGCCGTGGGCGCCGCGCCTCCGCCGACCTCTTCGCCCCTCCAGCACTGGCGATGGCCGGGGAGGGGGGGGGGGGGAATTCAAGGGACGGCTTTGAAGGCTTAGGGGTTTAGGGATTAGGGATCAGGGTTTAAGGGTTTAGGGCTCAGGAATTCAAGGGACGGCTTTGAAGGCTTAGGGGTTTAGGGTTTAGGATTAGGGTTTAAGGTTCGGGGATTAAGTTTGGGGATTAGGCTTTAGGGATTGGGGTTTAAGGGTTTAGGGCTTAGGATTTCAAGGGACGGCTTTGAAGGCTTCAGGGCGGCAGTCGGAGCTTAAACCTAAGATTTAGGGATTAGGGTTTAAGGGCTTAAAGATTAGGGTTTAGGGGTTTATGGTTTAGGTTTAGGGCTTAGGGATTTCAGGACCCTTCACTTTGATATGGGCTGTGTCGAGAAGAATGACTCCTGCGGCCACTAAGACTACCTATAGTCTTCATTGTGGTTCCTGTTTCTCGGTTACCTTTCCCTAAGGCTCCATGTACCCATATAGTATATACTTAGGCCTTTATGTACCTATATAGGGACCCCTTTTTGGCTTAAGTATCTACTATCTTGGTACATGGAGCCTTTAAGTTTTAGGATCCTAGCTATAGAGTCGGTTTAGCCAGGAACAGGAACTACGATGCCGGAAAGCCATGAAACCCTGGAACCTTTAGCCATACATTTCACGGCCTTGGGGACTGCAAAGGCTCCATGTACCTTTATCAACGGTTTAGGGTTTAGGGTTTAGGGCCTTTATCGTAGATACTTGAGCCTTAAAGTGGCCCCTATATAGGTACTTTAAGGCCTAAGTATATACTATATGGGTACATGGAGCCGGCCTTTGGAAACTCTAACACTTAACCGCTTAGCCCGTACATCCCACAAACCTAGACTGTCCAGCGGTGGAAGCTTAAACTCAAAGCCCCTTATCGCCGAAATCTAGAGGAAGGGGAATGGCTGAGAGGGATCTGTGGTTTCCTTATGGGTTACACTAGGGCGAAACAGAGGTTACTCTAAAGGGTCAAGACTCCTTTCAAGGTAGCTGTTCTCGCAACGATCCATTGCGACAACGACCATATGCTCATCAGCTAAACTATGCCAAACTCTAATTCAACTCTGAACCAGGCAAATCACTTGATAAAGGTCGAAGTTTCGCAACCTTTATGAGGTTTAGGGTTGCAAGCGACGCCTTCTTCTTGCTCAGTGTTATGCAACATGTTTCTTCCCGGACCTTGTGGCTTCCGCCCTAGCCCGCATTAACGCTGAGATGCCCTGTAAAACCTTTTGTAGACCCTATTGAAAAAGACCCGTGCCTGACCGCGGAGCCCGGGGGACTTTTTCCTCCATTCTCGCGCATCTTGCCGTGCAGGACGACAGAGCTCCAACCAAGGGGACCGACGCAAGGGTTCAGGGTTTGAGGGTTTGAGGGTTGGGCTTGGGGGTTTAGGGTTGAGGGTTTCAGGTTTGAGGCTTCACAGGGTTACAAGTTACAGCAGTGTAGCGCAGGGTTTCATGATTTGCTACTGATCGTAGTCTTTGCCGTCGCCAGAAACCCATCATAATACGAATCCAAGATTACTATTATCCTAAACCCAAGTACCGGGCCCTGGTGCTTTCGTGTACTTTGTGGTCCCTTGGGGCTGTCGTGGTAGTGGCAGCAGCAGCAGCAGCAGTAGCCCTGAGCCCTACATATCCCTACATACTTTACCCTGAGAGTCCTTGAAGAACCCCCGACTTCTTGGATCCTTTGGATCCTCAATATTGCCCTTAAAGGATCCTTTAGGGAGGATCCCTTATTATGGTGTTTGTGTACATGCTGTTTTGGGCCCCTGTCCTAAACTCTGCAGGAGCATGGAGTCCAAAGCGAGCAGCATGACCTCCAAAGCGCAGGGAACTCGGCTGGGCAGATTCCGTTCGGTGTAAGCTTTGGAAGGTTGAAGTTTCAGGGTACAGGGTTCAGGGTCGAAGTGCAGGGTTTTTGCCGCGATCGGCGGGTTTCGGGTAAGTGCTCCCGGTGCGAGGTTTGAGAGGTTTGAGGGCTTCGGCTGACAGAGCATCGGGCTTCTGCGTTTAGGGGAGTTTGTGGGTTTAGGGTTTAGGGTACCAACAGTCTCCATTGCAGTTCCTTTGTTAGATAAACCAATTTCATAGCTAGGATCCTATACTTGGAGGGGCAGGGGACTTAGTAAGTCGTTTATAAGTCGGGTTATAATTGGGGTAACTCCATTTCGGATGCTGATAACTCTACTTATAACTTATAACCTACTCACTAAGTCCCCTGCACCTCCAAGTAAGGTAACCCAAAAAAGAATTCGCTCCGTGCTGCTATGCAGAGCCTTCACCTTGTGGAGACTTGTCTCACGCCTCGGGTATGGCGAATGTGGGAAGCCATCGATCACGGTCCCTCGTCGTGCTGTTGATATAGGGCCCAAAACAGCACATAAGCAAAAATGAAGATAGGGATGTCCCATATAGACTCAAAAACCACTTATAATGAAGCCCAATAAGGTAGGGATGTCCCTATTAAATTATTGAATGCTCATGCTTAGGTCCTTCTTGGGTCCCTGATGATAGGTCGTTATTTACGGGTTTAGGGTCAAGTTTGAGGTTGTTCGCCAAGGGAGCAAAACTTATACTCGCCGCGAAAAAAATCACCACCGGAAACAGTGATGTTAGCTCTCTCTTGAATCATAGCTGTCTCTGCTGGTATTCTTCTTGGTGATGGCAGTCCTAGCAGCAGCAGCTGTGTCGTTGTGATGTTGATCTTGGTATATCGTCATCGTCATGGTCGTCGTGTGCCGGTGCGAGCGCTTGTGCTGGTGCCGGTGCTGGTGCTAGTGCTGCAGCTGCTGCTTGTCGTGATGCTGGTGGTGGTGCTGGAGGTACACAGATTGTTGGGGGGGGGGGGGGGGGGGTAGTCGTGGTGGTAAATAGAAGCAGCAGAAGCAGCTGCAGTTCCAGCGGCAGCAGTCGTCCTGGTCGTAATCTAAACGTTTTAGTAGTGGTGGTAGGTGGCGCATCGTTGTCGGGCAATGTGGTTCTGCTACTCACTCTGGTTTGCAAAGTGCCAGAAGAAATGCGCAGACTTACGAACCTGACCACCTACAAAAACCTTAAAGGGCTCTGGCCCCCCAAAACCTTAAATCCTAAACCTGGATCCTAAACCCTACGCCGTTTGTGATGACAGGGAACAGCTGCAGAAGGAGGAGTTGGTATTGCACATGTTCAGAATGAAGGCAAGATCTTGCAGTTCTGGGTTTACATCTGCGTACCACAAAGACATCGAAGGCAGCATTGTCACACTGTGGTTTGTTTCATCAGGACCTTATAAAAGAATCCTAATTCACAGAACTTCCCAAGTCTTCAAATATCAAAGGGTGTAAAGCCATGTGAAACCCCCACCAAAAGCCTAAACCCTTAAACCGCCAAATCCAAAACCCCAAATCCTACACCCTGCTGATAGGAGTCACCACGGCGCTTGGGACTTTGTTCGACCTTGGAGCACCAGATCTACAGATCCTTACAAGAAGAGGTGTCGTACTACTTCAAGGTCTATATAACTATATAGGTAGTTTTCCAAAAGAAGCTCAACAAAGGAGCCCCCCCAAGCTCTATACCCTGAAGCAAAGTATCGAGTACCCTTGACAAAGTACCGAATGTTTGGAACTGGGTGTTCTCAGTCTGCTGTGAAAAGAGCTGGTATAGGCGCTGGAGAAGCACCTTGCAACAAGGAGGACAAGGCACCTCTCGGAATCGGGAGCTTGAACCCTAAACCCTAAACCCTAAACCCTAAACCCTAAACCCTAAACCCTAAACCCTAAACCCTAAACCCTGAACCCTGAACCCTGAACCCTGAACCCACACTGAGGTCTGATGCCTTTGCAGAATTCAACGATCAAGGCCCCTATATGTCCTACGCCGTAACGCTCGAAAAAGACAAAATCCAGGTCTCATGCTTCTTAAGTCCCCCTATAGACCCTTGGGGTTTGGGGCCTAGCGTATGGTTCCAGGTTCGGATTTGTCGTTCTGAGTTTTGGGCATGAGAGTTTGTATATCACCGCCCAACTCTGTTTTTCGGGTATGAGAGCGAGAACTCTTTCAGCACTTGCCCGACCGACGGCAGTGAGCCATGTGTACTTGAGCCCAGATGTCGCACACGGCACTTGTTCCACCAGGATTGCTGGTGTCCTCAACTTGGAAAGCAGATCTGTAAGTAAGCCTTGGCTAACCTCAAATTCAACGCATGGTAGTATCTCTGGACCCTTCTAGAACTGAGTACATACTCTACGCCTGGACCTCCAGTTACTTCAACAGTAGCAGGTAACCCAGGATTTAGGTAAGCACAGCCCAAGGTACAGCAAATACACCCTAAACCGAGCAACTTAAACCTTAAACCTAGCTGGCCTGGGCATGTATAGTAGCCCTAATCTCCTGGTCTTTTAGGCCTTGATGTCTTTTGACCTGGAGAGCAGGCATCAAGAAGCTATAAAAAAAGCTAACCCCACAGCAACATCAAGGATATCCTCCGACTACCCTCAGCCCTGCAGGTGCACCTGTCGCTGCGGGAGCTGCTGCTTGATGCTGGTGCCCAGCCCAAGCTTCACTCGGCCGGTTGGAGCTGATTTTGGGCTTCCCTAAGGCTCCATGTACCCATATAGTACATGCTTAGTCCCATGTACCCATATAGTACATACTTAGGCCTTAAAGTACCTATATGGGGACCCCTGTAAGGCTTAAGCATCTACGGAGCCTAAACCCTTCTGATGCCCTTTATCGAACCCTTAAAGGATCCCTATCAAAAAGTACATGGAGCCTTTGGGATTTTGGGCTTGAGGGTTCAGGCTTCAGAACTGTTTAGGGCTGGGGCTTAGCGTTTAGGGTTTGGGGTTTAGGCTTGAGGCTTCAATAATTATTTAGGCTTGTGTCGTTGTTTTCAGTGTATTGTTCGGGCGGAGATGTTATCAGGACGATGGAGGTTTCTGATTATTAGGCTTTTCTTGCAGGGATAGCTGGATAGCTCCAGCCTTACTTCCAGGCGCGGTAAGGTTTGCGTCAGGGGAGTCCCCAAGTAGAATCCGAATGTTTTGTAGTCCCGGTGCGAATCTACTATAACAAGCCCCCAAAACCTTATCTACCTCATAAAGGCCCTTGATTATACTACGCCAGCTTCCCTCTTTCCTCCCTTCCAGTAGTCCGAGAAGACCCTACGGCAGAAGCCAAAAAGTTGGAAACCCAATGGCCCTAATCCCCAAAAATCATTTATAGGGAGTCCCAGCACTATTTGGCCTTGATCCGATTTCCAACTTTGTGGGGTTTGCTGTAACCTTTTGTGTCCTTAGAACGATTCCCTGACGAAAGTGATCCGTCTGGTTTTGGTTGTCAAATACATCCTAAATCTGCAAGTGTTTCCCCTAAGCTCCAATATGAGGTCCACTTGCTAAATCCAACCGATCTTTGGCCTAGGGCTTGGCAAAGCTGAGGAGGGACATACAACTTTCCACTGCTTTCGCGCTTTGGCTACAGCAACGTATTTGATGTTTTTCCTTCTGGTTTGCATGTTTGCTGTAGTACCTGTCCAAACCAACCTAAAGCCTTTGTCCTAAACCCTTACCCAGGTCTTTCCATGCGTCTGGCTTTGGAGGCAATTCCAGAAGCTCTTGTGGCAGGCAAAAGCCCCAGTACCCCACCTACATCGGGGTTTGGGGAAATGCTTTCTCTGGCTTTGAATAGAGGCTTTAATAATTCAATCAACAAATGAGAATAGGTTTTGGGGGGTACATTAGTACTGTTGATGATATAAGTCCTGCATTACCTTAAGGACCCTAAACTATGGAATTATGGTATATCCCTTATCATAGGTAATGCAGGATTTATATCAACTAACGTAGTGCATTGATGTTGCGGCAACCCTACTTGGAGGGGCAGGGGACTTAGTAAGTAAGGTTATAAGCAGGGTTATAATTGGGGTAACTCCATTTAGGGGACTTATAACCCCAATTAAAAACTATTTACTAAGTCCCATGATCCTTTATGTAGCCTAAACTAGCCCTTATAGAACCCCTATATAGATTCCTTAAAGGAGCCTTTTAAAGGAACCTACTTACTAAGTAAGGAATAATATGCGCAACTCATCCCTGAACCCTAAAGCTACCGGCCTCACTGTTCCCTAAGGCTCCGCGTACCCATAACAGGGGTTCCTTTAAGGCTTCCTTTAAGGGTTCCTTTTAAGGGTTTAGGGCTTAAGGCTCCATGTACCCATACAAAAAGTAGTGTCCCCTTTTTGGGTCCTTATCACAATACGGCACCTGATACTTAGGGGACCGAATTTTTGACAACCACCCATATAGTATATACTTAGGCCTCAAAGGACCTATATAGGGACCCCTTTGTGAAATTTCCCTGTCTTGAAGCGCCGTGTTGACCTGTCCTCATGCGAGCGTAGTCTTTTGAGTTAGATCTGAATGCACCCTGTACGACAGACGTCTTGGGCTCAGACCAAAAAGTGCGCTCGTAGTGTGGTTGGACACTCACTAATCCAGTTCCTGCTTCAAACTGGTAGCGGAGCTGTGAGGACAACCACTAGTGTTTCACCCCCGTAGAGCCTGTGGTCCGGGGTCCGTTGGGTAGAGTAGTGATAGTCGCGGCGCAAAGGCCCCTTCTATCTGAAGCCATGAGCGTGGCAGGTTTGCGTTACCAGCCCAATCTCTGGTCACAGAACCTGAGCCCTGCAGAAACGAAAAGCGGTTCGTACATATACGACGGTACGGCTGCTGGCTTCCACGATTGGTGCTTCCGGACACAGATCCGCGTGCTGCAACATAAGGAGAAGCAGCGGCGTGAAGCTCTTAAGGACCTGCGATTTGCCGAGTCGGCAAGGGCCAAGAGCGAGTCACCAAGGAAGTGGCGTGGCAGGGCAAGTCAGGGGACCAGTGCATCGCCCACAGATGGTGATGGAAGCAGCGGTATACCCGCCAGTCCGTCCAGCGCAAAACGGACTAAGCCCGCGTCCGAGGCAGAAGATGAGGATGCGGAGTCGTTGCCGTCGCACCCCAGCCAAGTGGCGGGCGACGATGAGCAGGAGCCGGACACAGATCCGGCGGTGTACACCTTGCAAGACATTAAGGACGAGTCGCTTGATATGAGCGAATGCGTTAGCAAGATCTTGGAGGGTCTCCGAGGAGACGCCTTTTGCATTGCTCGCGACGTCGGCCTGGAACGTCTGCTACGCCATGATGGCGTCGACTACCTGATAGAAGAAATCAGGAGGCAAGCTTTCCCTCTTCAATCTGAAGAGGCGTCCGAACTTTTCCGTCAGGGACAGCTCCTGACGGGCCCACTTGCAAAGCAACCCGGCGAGCCTATGTTGTCTTACATAGCCCGCCGAAAGCGGTGGTGGTCGACCTTGCGTGAGCTGGATCCTGATATCCGCCTTTCTGAAGCAATGAGGGCTAACCTCCTTGTTGAGCTTTCAGGGTTGGAAAGGAACGAACAGCTAATGGTCAAGACCGCCGCCCGCGTACACACCGTGGATGAGTACGCACGCGTCCTTGTTCAGCATCACTCAGTGGTGCACATGAAGGAACGTCTTCTTACCCAGAAGGACCCTAGTGGCCCAGGTAAGACCTGGAGACGTTTCGACGCTAAGCCACAGTACCCTAAGTTTGGCTACATGGGGTATGATGGTAGTGCCGCAGAGTATGGTCACCAGGAACAGCAGGAATCCGCGGAAGGCTACGGTGACGGCTACGGCGAAGAAGCATACCAGGCCACAGCGTCTGGGGGAGATGATGCGGATGAATGGATTGATGATGAAGACCTAGCATTGCAACTCAACGCCTATACGGCAGTGGCATATGAAGCTGAGATTGACGATTTGGATGATTCCTATGCCGAGTCAGTTCAGCTTGCGTACGCGGCACAGACCGCCTTTGCCCAGGCGAAAGGAAAAGGAAAAGGGAAGAACAAGGGCAAGTCCTCCGGAAAATCCGGAGGGAAGGTCGTGCGTAGCAATTTGACTATTGCTGATCGTAAGGCCAAGTTGGCAGAGCTTAAGGCAAAGAGTAGGTGCCTGAAGTGCGGTGTGATCGGCCATTGGGCCGGAGATGCTGCCTGCAAGTTTAGCGGTAAGGGCAATGGCCCCAAGGGCACCACAACCCCAGCACAGTCTGGGGGAACTGCCAACGCAGCCGCAAAGCCGGCGGCGCCGAAGCCCCAGGCGTATTTCGCCGCAGTGGAGGAGGATGACACAGAGTGTGTCCATCTGTCGAATGCGAGCGCTGGTAGGCTCGAGGGTTACCCAGCCAACCTTGAGCTGACTCCCTCAAGGACCAATACCGGCAAAGGCCGCGGCAATGAAACCCTCTTCTCACCGCAGCTTCGGCGCACAGCCGCCGCTAGGATCATGCGTGACAGCCCGCCTGAGGGTTCCGATCGCGTTTTCTCCTTTGGTCAGCATAAGGGTCTGACTTATGAGCGTGTCTTGTATACGTTTCCTGGATATGTTCTTTGGGGACGCACGCAGAAGTGCCCATCCATAAATTTGGCCGATTTCTTGGATTGGGTCACGGAGTACTTTGATGTGCGTGATGACAACCCCATTAGCATCACGAGAAGGGATGTCCCTCTCAGCCAGGAGCCCCCGCCTGAACCCTTTCAGCCCGAGGTTCGCCTCGCCGCGTCAGCTGCTTCGTCCAGCGAAGGCCCCCGGAAATGCCGGGGAGGTTGCAAGGAGTTCAACAAGTCGGGGAGTAACGCATACATAGACATGCGGACCTGTAAGAAATGCGGCACCGTCACCAAGACGAAGAAAGAGAAGCCTGTCATAGACCAGGCCACATGCCCCCACACCTCCACCGAGAGGTCGGGTAGCAGTAGGAAGACCTCCCGCATTAAGTGCAAGCTTTGTGGGATGCTTCTAGATGAGCAGCCGCAGACCGAGCGAAAGGCTAGGGATGACGCAGCCACAGTGCTGCGGGAGTCCAACACCCTGGACTTCGATCTTCTGCGCAGCATAGTCGGCAGCACGGGGGATAGCCTCCCCGTAGAGGTAGTAGTTCCGGCTATTGCCCAGTTTCAAGAGACCATAGAGGGTCACTTCGTAACCGAGCCCGTGATATCCCGCGGTGACCTTCTCGCATATCTGCAAGAGGCCTTAGATGATCACTCTGCGTCATCGACCAACAACAGTTGGGAAGTGGCGTCGGCGAGATCGCGCTCTTCGAGGGCCTCCGCGACGAGGCACGCCTTCGTGGCTTTCACTGAGGGGGTCACAGATATCCATCCGGCTTTGGTTGATTTGCCCGTAGTAAATATCTACGAGGATAAGCACGTATACGCCGTGTTGGATGAGGGCTGTAACTCGACTGTTCACGGTAGCGATTGGATAGCAAACGCGGCGGGGAAACTTGCGAACTTCGGTTACAGCACGAGGTTTAAACCTGAGGGCAATCGTACCTTCAAGGGTCTTAGCGGTGCTACCGAAACCCTGGGTAGCAGGACCATACCTTTCTCTATAATGGGATTGGAGCAGGACTTGAGAGTTCCGGGCGTCCTTGATTCTCACGAGATTAAGGGTACAGCCCCTCTCCTTTTGTCCCTTTACGCCCAGGCCCAACTTGGTATAACCAAGGATCTTCGGTTTGGCGAGTGTGGTGTTCGACTTCCTTCTGAGGATAGCATCATTAGGATCAAGCTGTGTCGGACACATGACTCAGGGCTGTTATGCATAAACATAACAGAAGGTTTGATTCAGGTGAAACAACCCCGTCTCATAAGGAGCTTCCAAATCCCCTCACCGCCAGTTCCTATATTTAGGTCTGCCGCCGCCGCCGCCTTAGCTCACTCAGAGTCTGTGAGCACCCCTCGAGATGCAACAGCGGCAGATGACGCAGTGGCAACAAGTCGCAGTCACAGTACTGTAGATGCAGGCCATGGTCATAGCACTGTAGGCGTAGGCCACGGTCACAGCTTCACAACGACAGCTGAGAATCGCAACAACACTAAGCGACGTATAAGCGTAGCGTTCCCGAATCATTGCATGGTAGG